GTTACCCAAAGCCGAGGAAGGAGAGTTGCCATTCCAGTGCCCCTGGAAGCAAAGCTGAAGCCCACGGCTGAGGGCTCTCCACCCAGAATCCAGTGAGCGTAGCCAGTACCCAATCTGGAGGGCAGAGCCCTTGCCCAGATGGTCGCAAAGAACAGAGGAATATTTTTAAACCTTGAGCACTAATATGAATTATTTTGCTGGGTTTTGGACTTGCTTGGTATCCCTTCTTTTCCTCCAGTCTCTCCCATTTGTAATGAAAATGTACACCTTGCACTTTTTCCATTACTGTATTTTGAAAGCAAATAACCTGTATTCTAGGTTCTTGGATGAAGAGGAATTTTGCCCTGGGGTATAATATATCTAACTAGCCTCACACAAGGTGTGTATTAGGGTTGTATCTTTCAACATATTTACTCAATCTGGTGATCAATAAGTTGGCATTGAGGAAGAGAAAGACATAGAGAGGTACATGGGAGGTACAGACAACAAAGATGAACCTTTTTCCACATATAGTACTGCATTGTCAGTCAAGGCAAACATGGGTATAGAGGTGGACAGATGGGTGGACAGGCTGAACTAGTAGATATGTCTATGAAGCGGATAGTGTACCCAAGAACATGTATAGGGTTGGCAGACAACGGTTCTATAAGTTTATGTGTATGATCTAAATTCCCAGGTGTATAGTAGAGCTGACAAGAGGCAAGGTGGTAGTCACTGCTTGGTCACAGCCAGCTACCCAGAGGGACCGAGTAGTTGAACCTGTGGGCTCAGGACCATAGTTGCAGGGACATCAAGCTCAATTGTTATAACATAATACACAAAACACTGTTCCACCTCCTACTTTGGCAAGTAGTGACTGGGATCTTAAAAGCTTGCAAGCTGCCATCTAGATGCAACGATGGGTTTCTCCTCGTCCAGAGCAAAGAAGAATGAAGAAAACCAAAAATTCATGGATACAATCAGTCCTAGCGACTGGTACGCCATCCAATCTGCAGCCTATACAACTATGAGACCAGAAGAACTAGATGGTGCCTGGCTACTACTATCATCCACTTGGAAAGGGATCTATGTAGGAGATCCTGAATAGAGAGGGAGAACAATGTGGACAAAACTCAAAATCATTTGGAGGAAAAAAGCGGGGGCGGGAGGGACCAGGTTTGCTGGTCCGATAGAGCCTGGTGGAACCAGTAAGACTATGGCCCCTACCTGCCCATCAGGTCTGGAATTGAACCCACACACCTGTGGCTTCCAGCCAAGCAAAGGACAGGCATATGAGTTGAACATTTACCTGAGGTAGATACACTCCTTGGAGAAAACAATCATGGGAGAAAGAAGGGCTGCTTATGCACCAGGAGACAGCTCAGGGGGCAGGACTGCATGGAGGGATGGACACAGGGATCGGGAGGAAGTGGGAGGGGAGCTGTTGCATTGTGGTAAATTGTGGTCAATGTCATGAGACAAAGTGTATGTGAACTGCTGTATGGAAAGTGAATTTGCTCTTTAAATCTTCACTCAAATCACACACACACAAAAAAAACATATTTACTCAATCTGTATGCTGAGCAAATAACCCAAGAAACTGAACTATATGAAGAAGAATGTGGCATCAGGATTGGAAGAAGTCTCATTAACAACCTGCGATATGCAGGTGACACATCTGGTTTGCTGATAGTGAAGACAACTTGAAGCACTTACTAATGAAGATCAAAGATTACAGCCTTCAGTATGGATTACACTTCAACAGAAGAGAACAATAATCCTCACAGCTAGACCAATAAATAAGCAACATCACGATAAATGGAGAAAAGATTGAAGTTGTAAGGGATTTCATTTTACTTGGATCCACAATCAACAACTATGGAAACAACAGTCAAGAAATCAAATAATGTATGCACTGGAAGTCTGCTGCATGAGACCTCTAAAGTGCTAAAGACAAAGATGTCACTTTGAAGACTAAGTAGTGCCTGACCCAAGTCATGGTATTTTCAGTAGCATCATACTTTGGTCATGTTGTCAGAAGGGGCCAGTCCCTGGATAAAGATACCATGCTTGGTAAAGTGGAGGGTCAGTGAAGGAGAAGACCCTCAGTGAGCTGGATGGACACAGTGGCTGCAGTGATGGGCTCAAGCACAGGAACAATGTGGGGATGGGCAGGACTAGGCAGTGTTTTACTCTGTTGTACATTGGGTCGCTGTGAGTCAGAACTGTCTTGATGGCACCTAGTAACAACTGTCTTGCCCATATTTGATTTAGATGATTCAGAAGATGAGATTTTGGACTTGGAGTTGATTTAAGACTTCTAAGGATGATGTAGTAGAGTCAAGGTGTTTTGCATGTGGAAAGTACGTGAATTTTGGGAGGCCAAAGGGCGGAATGTTATGGATTGAATTGTGTTCCCAAAAATATGTGTTGTACATCCTAACCTCTGTTTGTGTTTACAATCCCATTTGAGAATGGTTGTCTTTGTTATGTTAATGAAGGAGGGTTAGTGTCAGGTGTGTTTTGCGTCATTCTCATACAAGATATAAAAAAAGCAGATTAGGACAAGTAAGCAAGCAGAGATGGGGAAGAGAGACGCCAAGCCACATGAAGACTGTTGGGAGCAGTTCAAAGAGACAGACAAGGACCTTCCTCCAGAGCCAGCACCCTTCTAGCCTTCCCTAAACTGAGAGAAAATAAATCTGTCTGTTAAAGCCAGTCATTTGTACCCACTTGTAGTATTTCCCTTGTAGCAGCACTTGCTAATAACTAAGACAGTCAGGCCTTGAAAGAGTGACAGCTGTGTTCTCCTGCAGCTGGGCGGTTTGCAGTTTGACAAGGAGCTGAGGTCACTCATTGCCTACCTTACCACAGTGACCACCTGGACCATCCGAGACAAGTTTGCCCGGCTCTCCCAGATGGCCACAATCCTCAATCTGGAGCGGGTATGTGGGGCAAGCTCCATAGTGCAGCTCCCTCCACCTGGGCAGGGGAAGCAGACCAGGTAGAGAGGCAGGGGCAGCATTTGGGTCCCTTCCACTCCCTCCAAACTCTGCTGGCAGCCCAGCCCTGGAGGGCACCTTCCTCCTGGGCACCCCCGCTCTGCCCCTCATGAAACTTCCTTCAGGCTAGCCCCCTTCTTACTATCCTGTGTCTTTCCCACAGGTAACTGAGATTCTGGACTACTGGGGTGCCAACTCCGGCCCACTAACATGGCGCCTCACCCCTGCTGAAGTCCGCCAGGTGCTAGCTCTGCGCATAGACTTCCGTAGTGAGGACATCAAGAGACTGCGCCTCTAGCCACCCGGGTGAGCCCACCTGGGCCAAATGCTTCAGGGCCCAGTCTCTCAGCAGACACATCCATGGGCTGAGCAAGGCTATCTGGCCTGGCAGAGCTCTGACAGCCCAGACCATCCACAACATGGAAACAGGCCTGGGCTCACTCTGTTCTTCTGCCCTAGACCTAGCTGGACGCTGCTATAGGGACAGCCAGTCCCCTGCAAGAGAGGCAGGTCCTCCTAGGCTCCTCATTAGGTGGAAAAGCTTCAGCAGGCAGCATGAGGACCAGGCCAGCTTTCTGAATGAGCAGCATTCCCTCACCCTCAGACACTGCGGCACCAGACACCTCCTACCTACCTCTAGAGGGCTTGGATGCATATGGGGACCTAAGAAATGAGGTTTGACTTGTAATGTTTATGTTCATCCTGAATAAAGACGCTCCTTTGAGAGATTCCAGTGTGCTGTTTCCAGGGAAGCCGGGGTGATACAGGACAGGACAAGTTGACACTTGTATGGAAACACGAAGGCAAAAGCTCAAAACACCTGCCACCTCTCATACCCAGAGACGTGTGTGACTACCTCCAGGGACCCCCATGAATCAGAAGCCCTCACCACCACCCTTGGCTCCTCAGCAACATCCCAGAGGCAGTTTCCTACATGTCAGGGGGAAGTGAGAACTGCTCCCAGGAAGATCAGAAAACACAATCTTGAAGGGCAGGGTGAATTTATTCCAAGAATTTCAAAGTCCTAAGAACCAACTGCCCATAGGCACTAGGTGACATGGCATAGTCCACAGTGTCACTAGCTAAGCCCTGGGTTGGCAGTGGCCTTGTAAAAGATTACTGGCTCACTGCCATAGACCTGGATCTAGACCCCCAACTCATTCCCATCAAAAGTGAAAGTTGAGGTCTTAATAGCCGTTATGTCCCCCAGCTTGAGCAGGGGGTGAGATGATGACGTGGACCCACGGGGATAGAGAGGAAGAAGCTAAGGCCCAGAGCTGGGAGGAGGAACATCTGAAGTCAGATGCTCGAGGAGAGAGAGCAGCTGCGGATGGACCACTGAGGCTCCCAGGCAAAAGGCATGTCAGGGAGGACCTGGGCCACCTCCCTTATTGGTGACTGATGCTTGCTCTAGGTTTTGAAAGGAGCTGTATCTCAAAAGTATATGCAGAGCCTTCAGGCAGATCCCCATTCTCAGCCGGAGGACACCAATCCTTCCTGCCTTCCATCTCTCCCAACCTGAGCAAAAAGAATTCTGCGGCTATGCTGTGGCCTTGCAAACTGCACCAAGTCTGCCTGGGGGGGGGTGGTGAGCATGAAGTCTGTACTCAAGCAGAAGCCTGAACTCAAGGCAGGCCAGAGAAAGGTCTGAAAGGGCTTCTTCAGGGCCAGCCTTACCACAAGACCCCAGCCATAAGGGCCCTAGTGGAATGCAAGAAGGCGTGGCCCAAGTTAGGCCACAGGATTTCTAAAGGCCACAGAGGATACTGAGCTTAAAACTTTCCTGTGTCCAGATGGGGCAGAGGCTAAGCCTGGGCCCCCGTCAGCCTGGTCATAGTCCTGTTCCCAAGCACTGCCTTTGCTGTGCCAAGTTCCAGAAAGGCTGGGCCTAATCTCAGCTTAACTTCCTTTGGAGGCCTATTTCCAGAGGTGGGTGGGGAGAAGGGGACAGTGAGTTCCTGTGGGGTGAGGGAGCCACAGGATTTCCCCTCTTGCAGATAAACCTCATGCGAACGTTCATCAAATCGAGGCCCCCTTCTCCAGGAGCTGCAGGCTTAGGCCCTGAGTGTCCACTTCTACCAGGTGGATGCTATAGTTCCCGAGGCCCTGGGACAAAGAACAAGAAGTGTTTAAAAGGCTTTGGACAAACCTTGGGTCTTCTGGAGGGTGGGCAGAGGCTATAGGGCTAGAGGGACTCACAGGGGTAGCCCCTGATTAGCTGGTGGGCCTCAGGGAGGTCTCTTGCCCCCTACCATCTACCGCACTCTGACACCACCAGGTACCTCGACCTTGGCCAGCACAGCCTCCAGAGCCGCCTTCTGCCGTGGCTCCTTCGTCAACAGATAGAGGAAGCCCCCGCCGCCTGCCCCTGCTAGGCTCTGGCCATGCACGTGAGGCGCCAGGACGTCCATCATCCGTCGCACGGCCAGGGGCTCACACCCTGGAGCCATGAGCTTCTTCTGTGCCCAGTATGAGGTCAGGTACTGGCCCAGGAGAGGCAGGCTTCCTGGGGTGAAGGCAAAGGGAAGTGATGTGCCTGGGCCAGGGTTTCCACTCAACGCCTATTTGCTGAGTGAGGCACTACCTAACCAGTGTCATAGTTAAGAACCTGGGCTCCAGTGCTGGCTGGAAAAGAGAAGTAAGGAAGTCTACCTCACAGGGTGGTTTTGAGGATTAAGGGGCCCAACACAGCCGGCACAGTGGCCAGCACACCGTATTCAGTGAACCGTGTGGCACACACTTGGAAGCCTGCTTGGCTCTGAATTTCCTGCAACTCGGCTATGGCGCCAAGCCTCTTCCCCCATCTGCTTTGTGGTGGGAGGAGAGGGAGCTGGAGGGCCCTTCCATGATATAACTTTTGTCTTGAGATAGGGCTCCCGTGCAGATTTGAGACCTTCAAGAGGTTAGACAGACAGCTTCTTTTCCCAGAAGGCCTACTCAAGAGTTCCTGTCTAGTGGCCTAACACTGGGGCCTGTGCCAAGCCTGCAAAGGTCCTGGCCTCTGAGACTCAGAAAGCAGGCCCTCCTGCTGCCCTGACCACCCCTAGAAGAAGCTCTTACCTTGTCGGAAGGCTTTGGCACACTCCTCTGTTTGCTGCACCAGACTGTGGGCATTCTGCACCACAGCAGGCAACCGGGCATACCAGCTCCTCAGCACATCCTGCAGACAGGGCAGGAGAGGTGGCGTGAGGACCTGGGCCCAGCTGAGCCACCTGCCTCCTTCCTCCTAGGACCAGGAGGAGCTCACCTGCAGCAGGTTTCGTGCCAGGCGGGTCTTGCCCGTGTACACCAGGAGCAGGTGGTCACTGAGCTTCTGGATGAAGCCCTCAGGCACAGTGATCTCCTCCACCTCCACCTTCAGGGGCAGCTGAGCCCGGGAGCGTCCCACCTTGATGCCAGGTACCAGGCCACCCACTTGGTCCTGCCAGCCGCCTCCTACAATTCCAGGACCCTGTCACTACTGGAGTCTTTCTGGCCCAACTTCACTCTCCCACCCCAGGCTCCTGGCCTGCACCTCCACCTGGGACCAATGTGGGAAGACAGCTTCCCCTAACTCCAGCTGGGGCAGGTGGGCTGTGCAGCTTCTGCCCCCAGCCCTGGGAGCAGAAGGATCGCAGCGAGGTAAAGGGTTTCACTCTGGAGCCAAGCCTGGAATTTATAGTTTCGTTTCAGATACTATGTGTGATTGGAATTGGGTAAACCTCAGTGAAGAAGATTTTACATTAACCTCCCCTGCTCTGGAGTTCTAGCCAGAGGTGGAGGTGATACCAGCCTTCCCTGTAGCCCAACAGGCCGCTTGTTCTTTGTCTTTTCTGATAAGTGTTTATATTGGAAAGTGTGTTAGCATCTCTTGTCTCATGTGAGATTGTTTACATCTTGTTTTAATAATGAGAGCATTGAATAATGATCTCTTTTCCCCTTGCAGCTATATAAAAGTCATAAAACTTGAGATGGTTCTGGGACACCCCTCAGTATCCGAGGAAGGGCCAGCAAATATTTAAAGTATAAAATGCAAACAGCAGGAGGCATCTGGAACTTTATGGCCAGAAAATGGTGGTGTTCCCAGAAATCATGCAAAATGCCCAGAACTCCATAAATATGCCTGCCCCTCTTCTTCAGAACATCGGAGTAATTACACATCTCCCTTGTGTGCTTACTGATCAATGTCCGCCTCCGATAAATAAGATGACTTTTGAGGACAAGGATGCTGTTTTTGCTGATTTTATCCAACACAGAGTGGATACTCAATACATAGTTGTCTATGGACTAAATAAAGATTTGACTGGTATACCCCAAAAGAAAACTGAAAAAATCTCCCCATCTGCCTCTGTTACTAATGACTACTTATTACGGGATGTGAGTCATTATAAGGAAAGGAGGATCTGGGCTGCAGAGTGGCTGGAAGATACACGATCGTCCACACGTCTTTGTGCAAGTTTCCTTCCCAGAGTCCTGGAGGCAAGACCTGGTGTCTCGAGGCGAACAGGACACCCTAGGATCTAGAACCAGACAAACCTCTGGCTGCTCTATGTTGGGCACTGACTCCTAGGGGCCCCTGTGGCAAAGAGGGGAGAGAAGTCTGGTAACATTCCGTTACCACAGCCACGTGCCAAGGTGGGGACAGAGGGTGAGGACAAGGGGAGAGGCACCAGTGATCATAACCCAAGGGACGGGCAAGTTTCCAGAAGAGCAGGCCTGTCCTGTCCCCTACTCCAAGTCCCTTCTGCCCAGCCTTCCCTTAAAGGACAGCCCTGGGTGGGGATAGAGTCATGAAGAAAGGCACCTGGTGCCCAATACAAGTCCTAAGTGCAGCTCTGAACCTAGCACTTAGTAGGTGCTCACAAAACATTAGCTTCTTTTAAACATTTCAAGTTGAAAACCAGCAGAGGGTCAGAGTCAGTGCTCAGATGATAAGGAGCTGTAAGCATTTTAAGGGGCAGAACAGTTAGATGGCTGTTTGCAAATCCCATGCAGATCCAGGGGAGCCTCCGGAGACCCTTGGGAATGTGCCAGTGGCCCCCTCCACACAGGACATACCTGTGGTGAGCACCTGCTCTAGGTGCAGCACTGCATGGATCAAGGCCTCTGTGCTCATCGCCCGGCCAGCGGCCCGCTGCAAGGCGGCCAGGGCAGCACCCGCCAGGATGCTGCTGGTGCCTGCAGGGAGTGGAAGCGGGTGCCAGGCATGAAACAGCACTACTTAGTCCTGCCCCACTCCCTCTCTGCTGGGCAGGCACTGGAGAGGGGGAATGGAGTAGAGCCTGGAGGGTGGGGGCGGAGGTGGTGGTCAACAAGGGCAAGGTCACTCACCTAGGCCAGAACCGTGGGGCAGTTCGGACCAGGTATGCAGCTCGAAGCCACCCCCAAACGCATGCAACAGCTGATCACTCAGTGGGAGCTCAGAGCAGACACCCACAATCCCCGCACAGATGAAGACCGCCTTCAGCAAGGCCCCTGCAGACGGACAGGCCCCCAGCCAGGAGTTTGGTCTCTAAGAGCAGAAGAAGACACCCCAGCCTCGCTGTTTCCCAGCCCATTGTGGGGCTCATTTGATGGCACAAAAGCCCAGCAGCATGCAAACTTTATCCCCAAAAGCCACAAAAGGCCCTCTGAGCTCTAGGTCACAGGGTGTTCCCCAACATGAGCAAATGTGTCATCTGTAACTTCCTGCACATGCATGTGCCTAGACAGTTTGCCTTTTCCTTCAGGCCCCTCAACCAGACTGGCTGGCCCCCAGCCAGGCCCCAGGTCCATGGAGAGGTCTGCAGGTTCCACCACACCCCCTAGCTGGCTGTGTGTGCCATCCCTACCGCAGATGTGCAGGGGTGCCCTAACCTGGGGCATGGGGCTGGCAGTAATCCTGCAGGTCATCCAAGCTCCGGCACACTAGCTTCACGGCCATCTCGTTCTGCCGAGGCCCCACCGCCAGCCTCAGCTCTGGTTCAGGGATGCGTCGTGCTCTGGCCCCAATGGGCCGGCGGCCATCCACTTGCACGGCCAGGCCTAGCACAGCCCCACCAAGCTCATAGGCGAGGGGCGGCGTATCACTCCAGCCACCTATGGCAGTGGAGCAAAACCAAGGTGGCCCCAGTGGTTGCTAGACTGACTTGGGGTGGCCAACCTCACCCTTAGCCCTAGAAAAGGCTCACCAGAGAAGTCCACACGGGCCGGGCACTCAGCCACCACCCACTGCCCAGGTGCTGGCAGCTCCACTGGCTCCGTGGAGACAAAGTGCTGGGCGGACATCACAGCCTGGCGGATCAGGATCTGCCCAGCCCCCTCATAGTGGCGCGCGGCTCGCACCAGCAAAGCTGGTCTGCCAAGAAGAGGGGGAGAAGTGGCAGCATGGTGCCCCAAGTTGGGGGCAGACTGCCTGGGCTTGGGGACTCCACTGCCCTGGGTGACCCGAGGGAGTCCCCACCTCTCTCTGGGCTTCAGTCTCCAAGGATGGCCCCTATTTCTCAAAAGGTTCTGATTGTTAGCACCCACCTGCTCAGCCACTTGTCCCGCTCCTGGGCGAGCACCTCCACACCCCGTGCCAGGTCACCACACTCCAGGTACGAGAAGGGCCGAGTCCACTCAGGGTTGGCGGCTGGTCCACTCCTCAAGCCTCCACAGCCCCCGGCCATGCAGCCCAGCACATCCGCCACACAGGCCAGTGCCCGCGCTGCCACACCAAGGTCTTGTGCACCAGCTGCCACTGAGGGACCAGGCGTCAGAGGGAGCTGGGAATGCCCTCTGCCCCAGAGAAGGCAGCTACTGAATAGTCCCCGAAGACTCCAGGCTCTCCACGGCCTTGCTTTTTTGCCCAAGATGTTCCCTTGCCAGTAAGTGTACTCCCTACTCCCCTCCCTGACAAAGTTCTAATCTTGCAGCCGCAGCCCAAATGTGCCCCTTCACCCCAACCCAGGATGGTTAACAAGTACGATCAAACTGCCTGTGTGGCTGTTTGTGAATGACTTAACGGGGACAATTTTCCAGTTGCTGGGACCATTAACAAGGTATCACATATGAGCTAAGGCTCTGAGCCCCTGGGGAAATCTTCTAGGACCTCAGGTAGAGCTTGCCACACCCCTTGGGGCTCCACCAGGGCTCTTTCACCCGCATCCCAGCCCCAGTGCAGCAGGCAGGGTTTGCTGATGCTCGCAGGCTCCACTGGCTCAGCAGAGGCCCCAGTCTCTGACCCAGTGGAAGTAAATTCCAGTTGCCTCCGAGCCCTGCTTTAAAGTCTCCCTCCCATGACTCCCTCCCAAGCACCCTGAGGGTGATGGCCTGGAGGTCCAGCTCCCCAGCACTCATGGCCAGCATACTCACCCTGGTCCAGCATGGCCAGCAGGGGTCCAGGGCAACCCTCACAGACAGCGGCGCGGATCAGCGGACGCAGGCTGAGGTCCTGCCGTGCCTCCAGCACTTGCCGCACCTTTTGCAGGGCCTGGAGGAAAAATAGGTCCCGGCGGGAGGCCAGCGTGGCAGCCCGGTCCAGGCATGGCTGCAGCTGCTCCCAGGACAGACGCCAGGCGGCTCGCCAGGCCCGCAGGGCCTCACCCCCATCCTCCTGGGGGTCCAGCATCCATAGCAGGTCCCGGGGTCCCAGGGCCCTCGAGGGATGGAGCACGGGGAAGAGGCGGGCATTGAGAAGGCAACGCTGTGGGGGAGGTATATCCAGGTCCCACAGGTCCCAGTCTCTGATGAGGGGAGAGGGCACATTAGAGGGAGGGAGGTGAGGCTCCTGTCCTCTCACCAAGCCCTGACCCAACTGTCAGAGGTCTTCAGCTGAGAGCTGGAGACAGGACAAATGCCTCCAGCTGCTGCCACCAAGAGGCGGCACATGGCTGCACGACGTGAGGAACGCAACCAGAGTCACTAATTGCACAGGGAGAGACTGCTGAACTCGCACGCTCTGCTGTGCACACTCTCAACAAAAATTATTGACCAAAAAAAAGCTTACATCCCCGGTGGCAGCTACACCTACATGGGAGCAATTTCTTCAAGCCTGAGCACAGCCAGAGATTTAGGGGTGCCCAGGGAGGGTGCTAGAGAGAATCAGGCTGTAACCCCCAGGAGTGGGAGGGTAAGGGGCCAGGTGCCACTCCAGGCCAGGGGAGAGATAAGCCTCACAGAAACCACCCAGCCCACAAAGGTCCATGGACACCTTACCGGATGCCTGTCTTCTGGAAGAATTCACTCCAAGGCATATTGAGATACGTGCCTGCCCCCTGTCTCTGGGGAAAGAGAGAAGGAAGCCATCAGGCTGAGGGGCCACAGAAGGGATTAGGGCTATGAGGCCAAGTAGCCGCTCAAGAGGGGCAGGAAGAGAGACATGGATACTTAGTGTTTCAAGCCCTGAGACCCCAACACTCCTGCCCCAGTGCCTCGAATCTGGAAGTAGAGTCCTAGGTTCCAGGCCTGATCCACCAAAACTGGTGTGTGGCCCAGCCTATGAAATGGGAATGAAACTCCCCACCTAGCCCAGCAGGGTGGACAAGACATGGGGAAAAGGCATGTTGAGGACTCTACCCCATCCTCAGGCCAGCGCTCAGAGAACCCTAGAGTGCTCTCGGACACCCCGCAGTGCAGTGGGAGCTAGGACCCCTGGAGATCCCCAAAGCCTGAAGATGGAGGTGGGGAAGGTGTAGAGCTCCTACATCCCAGCTGTCCTGACAGCCCGCGAGGGTGAAGACCCGGCCCGGGGAGCCGTGAAGCCGCACAAGGTGTCCCCGCAGGATGAGCTCACGTAGCTCTATGCCGCGCAGTGCCTCAGACTGGGCTGAGTCCAGGCCACTCAGGAAGCAGCCGGGGCCGATGTGAATGGGGCCCTGGAGGGGGAGAGGGCAGGGATCCTGAGCAGAAGCACAGCCCCGGGCACCGCCCCCATAGGACCCCAGCCTCCCTATCCCTGCCCTCCCTCCTGCCCACATTCTCAGGCCTCACCCGCAGGTGGCAATGCTGCAGGACACTCCCAGGACCCAGCCAGACAGAGCCTTCCAGCAGACAGCTGACCACGGAGCTCCCAGCCACCAGGAGCTCCAGGTCCTGGGAAGTCAGGGCCAAAGGTTGTCAGGGCCAACGCAACGTATGCAAGGCCTCAGCCAGAATTCCTGCTGCATCCCATGCCCATCAGCCAGCCAGCCCCCTCTCTGTACCCACCCCAATGCCAGCCTCTGGCCCATTTTCACCCCCAGCCTTCTTCAGGCTATTCCCCTATATTCTCCTTCAGAGCAAATCTGAACTTGCACAATGGCTGTCCCATGACATGACAGCTCCTCCAGAAAGCCCTTCCCATCTGTCCTCCTCAGTGCCACGGCACTGGCTCTGCCACCAAGGCCTATCAAGGATGCCTGTCTCCCCAAGAGAAAAGTTGGGGGGGGTCTTTCTTCGCTTCTCAATCGGGCTGACTTGGATTTTAGAATCCTAACTTGGCCACTCACTGCCTCTGAGCCTCCAGCCCCTCACCTGCAAGGTGGGAATACCACCAGCACCAGCACTCATAACCTAAGCATGGGCCATTCGTCCCCTTCCCCAGAGACCACATCCCACCTGAGCCCAGGTAGCCAGCGGGCATCTGTGAGGTGAGGCAGTTCTCTCACCTCCACCTGAGAGTGCACAATCTGGGCCCTGGAGGTGCCGGGGAGTGTCAGGCTATGCAGGAACTCACTGGCTAGGGAGATCATGTAGGTGTAGCTGCCACCGGGGATGTAAGCTGTAAAGACACAAGGACTGACCCTAACCCCATGCCTGCCGCAGGACCTGTGCCAGGCTAGGCCTCTCGCCAGCAGATGTATCCTCATTGTGCCCTGCCTGGGAGGGTAGGCAAAGTGATGAGGCCATTGTGCTGACAGGGAAGCTGAGAACCAGAAAGGTTCAGCAACTTGCCCAAAGTCACACAGCCAAAAAGCAGGACTAGGACTGGGGCCTAAGAACAAGATAAAAGGAAGAAATGAGCTCTACATAAAACTTGGGTAATGGTCCAATCCATGCCTAGGCTGCCTTCAAGAACCCAGGGACCAAGTGGAGGTAGCCTCAATTCTGGGGTCCTCAATCCCATGGTCTCCCCACCCCCGAGAGCCAACAAGTTGTACCCACCCATGGTGAGGGGCTGACCGCGGAGCTCCCTCCACAGCTCAGCCCGGGCACCCTGCAGATAGCTTGGTGTGCCTGTGTCGCCTTGCCCCATCTCTGGGGGCCGCCCCACCAGGAAGTCCTCCTTGCTGACGTTCCGAGCCATGCACAGCAGGATGTCGAAAAACAAAGACAGCTAGGGCAAGGGTGGGAAACACAACCACTGAGGGCCAGGAGTTGGGCCTCGTTCCTCGGCTGAGCTGGGGCAGTCCCACCCCAGAGACTTTGACCCAGAGAGGGGAAGGGCTAGCCTGAGGTCACACAGCCAGGCATCCAGTGTCAGGGCCAGTGCTGGGGTGTTCTTGTCCCCAGGCCAGGACCCCAGCCCATCCCAAGTCACCTGAACAGGCCGGGCTCCAGAATCCAAGCCCATGTAGGTACAGGCGTCCAGAGGAGGGCTCACGTGGGTGGCCAGAAGGCGCTCGGCAGTCTCCACGGAGAAGAAGGCAATCCCAGAAACCTGGAGGGGCCCCAAAGAGTCAGGTGGGGAACACTGAGCCCAAGCCTGACGCTGAGGCAGGAAGCATACATGGAGATGGGCAAAGCAAGGCCAATTGCCGAATAAGGCAGGGACCTTCGGCTTCAGAGCCTCCAGCACCTAGGCTCCAGGCTCACTTAGGGCAGCTCCCACCAAGGGACCTTTCTGCAGGCACCTTCTCTGCAACTCCCCTTGATTTTCAGGCCTCTTCCCCATCCACGTTCTCTACCTTCCCGTGGTCATCCCAGACTCCTTCCCACCACTCCTATCCTGGTCCTTCGATCAAGAACCTCCCCAGGAGCCTGGTTCTAGGCTTCCTCCCGACCACCTTCCCCAACCCTGCTTCAAACTGGTCTTCCTGGTTTGGAACCACTCCCTGAATTCCAAGGCTTCCTCTTCCTCGGATTCTGCTCCCAGCTGGTCCTCTAACTGTCAAATCTACTTCTCCTCAAATCCCAGTTCTAGACTTTCCTCAGGATCAGGTTCTAGTTTGACCCAGAATGCCTCCTGAAGAAATGGAGCTCTGCTCTGGGCAGCAGGTCTGGCAGAAAGGTCCCCAGAAGCCCCCTCCCTGGGCCTGGCAGCCATACCAGTGGCACCCTCCCATCAGGCCTGGCACAGCACTGTATCTCTGCCTCAGTGCCCCGGTAGTAGATGTCCAAAACGACACCCTGTGTTGGGGGAGAACACAGAGTTAGGGATGGGGGCAGGTGGATCGCGAAGGTAGACACAGCTGCAGAATCAGCATCAGTGCTCCATGCAAAAGCTCCAGATTCCAGTCTGACAGGTACCAGCATCTCATGAAGCTGTTCCAGGGGAGGGGAGGTGACAGGCTTTAAACATCTTCAGCGCCTCTGAGCTGGAGACGAGCGGGGCCCGTGGTCCGCATGTGTCACGTTTGCCAAAAGAGCAGGCGACCATGAGAGCTACTGCCGTGAGAAGGTCCCTCGGGATCAAGGCCACACCGGGAACCCCAGGAGAGGTGGCCCAGAGCATGGAACGGAAGGCTGCCCCAGGTACGCTCAGAGGCCCCACCCCCCGCCCCCAGGGGCTCTACCTGGGAGTCACTGAGGTAGACGCCATGATTCTGAGCGTAGGCTGGGCTCCCAGGAAGTGCGATCACTCTGACTCCTTGGAAACCTTCCCAGCTGATCCCTGCAGGGTGAAGTGGTCAGCAGTCAGGAAGCTGCCTAGGGGCCCCAACCCAAGGCAGGGAGTTTCCAGTCAGGAGGAGGTAAAAGCTCGGGGCTGGGGCATCAGGGCACTCCCAAAGGGAAATACAGTTCTCAAAGCCACCTGGACATTCTCCTCTCAGAGAATGACAACCCCTCTCCCTACCAAAGTTCCTCCACAAAGTCCTGTGGGGCAGAAAGGGCCAGGCTGGAACGACTCTCTCCGTTCTACAGACAAGCTGACTGAGGCCCAGCACGGGGAACCCTGCCTCTTGGTTCAGCTTCATTCTCAGCCTACATAGCTCCTCTGCTGAACAGGACTTGTGGGGTTGGCCCAGAGCCAGATGGAGAGAAAAGGCAGAGCCAGCCTCTGGCTATGGCTAGAGAGGCTGTCCCCGGCGGGTCTCAGCTCACCTGGGTTTTGAGGAACGGAGAGCAGCATGTCGGTGCTGCAGACCCACACACCTGGTGGGGAGCCGGGGCCTAGCTGCAGAGAGAGAACCTGTTGGTGGCCTGGCCCAGCCCTTCCTCTGCTCCCTCACAGCTCAGGCTCGGCCTGCTCGGCTGCTCCAGGAGGTCTCTGGGGCCTCTGGGGCTGAGGGCCCCTCTTCTACCAGTGTGACCAAGACTAACTTCGCCAAGCTCTAGCTAACCCTGGGCACCCCCAAAGCCATTCTCCTCCCTGGGGTTCCCAGTCTAAGCTGCACAGACTATAGCTGGTGGTGTAGTGGGAGAGACAAGGTTGTATCTGGGAAGGCACCCATGGGATGCTGCCTGGCCTCACCCGGTGGGTCATGATATCCAGCAAGCAGTCCAGGTTGCAGACCACAGCCTCCACAGGGGCCTGGGGGTTCTCCACAGGGAGGCAGGTAAAGGCCCGGCCACAGTCATCCAAGGGGAAGTCTCGGCCCTGGAGGGAGCAGAGACTGGTGAGTGCACCCTTGGGACACCAGCCTCGGAACTCCCATCAGCTGAGCCAGGGCGGAAAGCCATCAATCTAGAAGACTTTTTAAGTGTCTTCTTAGTGTTCTTGCTTATAATTTTTTAAATTACATTATTACTGTAAAAAATAGAAAGTTTAGTTACATAGATATGAAAAAAAAAAAAAAAAACCCTCAGACATAACCACCACTACCCTCATTCTAATGTATATCCTGTCAGATCTGCATTCATACATTCTCATAAAAAAATTTTTTTACACAAATGAGACCAACCTGAAAAGGTAGAGACAAAAGAATTGAGTACACACACACACACACACACACACAAATGAGTATAATCAAACAGAATATTGGAGTAAGATGAGGGAGTATACCAGTGTCAACATCCTGGTTGGGATATGCTATAGTTTTGCTAGATGTTATCTTTAGGGGAATGTGGGCAAAGTTCACAAGGGATTCTCTCTGTATTATTTCTTACAAATATTGATCTACAGATGCTTGCAGATCTACATCTTACTGACATCAAGTCCATTGCGACTCATAACGACCCCCACTGGGTTTCCGAAGCAGTATCTTTATGCAAGTAGATTGCCCAGTGTTCCTTTCGCAGAGTTGCTGGCAGGTTTGAACCACCAACGTTCTGGTTAGCAGTCAAATGCCTTAGGCACTACGCCACCAGAGCCTCTTAGATCTACATGTTGTTGTTGTTGTTATGTGCCGTCGAGTCAAACCCGACTCATAGCGACCCCTCCTTGGGCTTCCGAGGCAGTATCACTACGGAAGTAGGATTGCCCAACCTTCCTTCCGAGGAGTGGCTGGTGGGTTTGAACCGCCAGCCGTCTGGTTAGCAGGCAAAATGTCTTAGCCACTATGCTACCAGAGCTCCATAGAGATCTATAATTATCTCAATAAAAAATTTAATGACAAAAATGAAATCAAAGTCAAAATAATAAAAGAGACCAGGCTTATTGGTCTGATAGAGATGATGGAAACCCTGAGACTATGACCCTTAGTCACTCTTTAGGTCTGGAACTGAACTTACCCCCGTGGCTCAAGTTTCAGCCAAACAACAGACTGGCCTGTAAGGTGAACATAATACCAGGGAGGTACAAACTCTTTAGAACAATTAACCATATGAAATCAAAAGGGGAGCATTTGCCCAGGAATCAAGCTCAGAAGGCAGAGGAAAGAAGGGTGAATGGAAGCAGCGATCACGGAAGTGGGAAGAATGCTACGTTGTGGGACTGCAATCGATGCCACTAAATTTGCATGAACTGTTGAATGGAAAGCCAATTTGCTCTGTAAACTTTCACCCAAATCACAATGAAAACTTTAAAAAGAGAGAGAGAGAGATCATTCTATACAAACGTCTACAGCTGGTATTTTTCACTTAACAGTGAAAATGCATTCACTGAGCACTTAAAATGAGCCAGGCCCTGTTTTGAGCATTTACATGGATCATCTTAGCACATTTGTATGAAGTAGGAACTATTGCCTTCTCCTTTTACAGGTGAGGAAACTGAGGCCTAGCAACGGCCAAATGACTTGGCTAAGTTACAGAGCAGGTAACTCTCTTTCTAGATCAATGAACAGCATTGATATCGCTGCCTAATATTCCATCAGGAAGATAATGCTGGATATGCTTAGACCGTTCCCTATGTGTTGGCCATTTAAGTCTGATTCTCCTGGGATTGTACAACAAACGCCCTCACACACACAAAGGTACAGCACCCATAAGAGCCCATCCAGCCCTGAAAACTGCTGTTCCAGCTTTGTGCGTGGCCCCTGCCCAGGACTCTGCTTACCATGTGCAGGATGAGGATCCGGGCTGCCTGTAGGACATCTGATGTGACCACCTGTTGGGGGTGGGACAGCCCTATGAACAAACAAAGCCCTTGGACAGAAGTCCCACACCCAGAGGACAGCACCCTCCAGGAAGGGGCCCCAACTCAAATGCACTCAGGTATCAAAGGAACAAAAGGTAAAGTCAAGACTGGTGGCCACGGGCAGGCAGGGGGCAGCCCTGGCCCCTCCTGGATAAGGGAGCCCAGAGGCCCTCAGCCTGGGCCCGTTTTGAGGGAAGGCTGCAGGCAGGAACATGAGTCTGGCTAGATGACTCAGGGTAAGTCAGCCTCTGGCAACGCACGGTGGTCTCCTCCCCTGCCGGTGCTGCCTCCACCGCCAGCACGTCCGTGCCTGTGACCACCTCACATCCTATGCCAGGGTGTGCCATGCGGGCAAGGTGGCTGGGTACGTGTGGGACATAACCCAATGCAGACACTGACTCGCAGGCTCTGCCCAGAGGGGGTGCCACTCCTCAGTTCCAGCAAACAGACGCCATGTGGGAAAGAGAGCCCAGAGAAGCAAGATCTTCAACCTTTCCAAGAGAAGCCAGAAAGCCTGACCAAGTTTGATATGCTGGGTCCAACTGACAAAAACACACTGGGAAGTAACCTCTTCTTCTGCCCTCCCCTGGATGACAGAGCAGAGATAATTCTACCCACTTGACAGATATGAAAACTGAAGCCAAATGAGCTGGCCAGGGCGATGGAGCCAGAGTTGCTGGGGACATTATGTGGCTTAACCCCATCCCTGTACCAAGGGGGATGTGAGCACAGCACTTCATGGAAACTCACAGTGAAGCCTGCCCGGGCACTCAGGTGTTCAGCAGCCACCAGCAGGGCGTTGAGGGTAGCTCCTCCACTGCCCACACACATCTCGGGGTCCTCCACAGCCAGTAACAACGTCCCAGCGGGGATCCGCTCTCGCTTCTGCCGCACCTCCAGCTCTGAGGCCGGAACACATGCTGGAACTGCCCCAGCCGCCCTGCCCCAGCCTGAAGTACCCGGGTAAGCCTGTGACAGTCACTCCGTTACTTTCTTTGACTTAATAGCTTTTCACAGAGATGCTCATTGGACCCCTCCCCCACTCTGAGGCATCATTAGTCCCATTTTGCAGATGAGAAAACTGAGGCTTAATGAAGGGGCATGACGTGTCTGCTGTCACACAGCTAGGAAAAGGTCAACTCCAAGTGTGCCCAGACCTTGAGGCTATAGTGGTAGGGCAGGGGAGCGGGGGCTGGGGGTTCTACACTCTCAAGAGGGGAGGAGGAAGAGTCATCTACCTCTCTGGAAGACCTGGACACTGTCCTTGTACTGGCACGTCAGGATGATGACTGTCCAATCAACACCCTTGGCCTGCTCCATTCTGGCCAAAGTTGAGGGTGCTGCCTGAGACAGAGATGTGGGTAGATGTGAGAATGTTTTTTCAACTTATTCTACTCCTTTTTTGCTTTACAGTTCTATGATTTTTAACACAGCTGTAGCTTGTGGTCACCACCACTAACCATCACCCCCCCAAAATTCCCTCATGCTGTCCCATTATAGTCAAACCCTACCCGACTCCTAACCCCTGGCAACCACTCATCTGGTCTCCATAGCCATAGTTTTGTCTTTCACAAAAATGTCCAATAAACAAAACATAATCTTTAGCTTCTTTCCCTCAGCACGATACCTCAGAGATTCATCCAAGTTGTGTGTATCAATCACTGGTCCCTTTTAACTACTGAGTAATATTCCACTGCATGAATGTACCAGTCTGTTAATCCATCCACTCAGCCAAAGACATGTGGACTGTTCCCAGACTTTGCAGATTGTAAATAGAGTTATTATCAACATTAGTATGCAGGTTTTGTGTGAACCTAAGACTTCATTTCTCTGTACTAGGAGTGGGATTGCTATGTCATGTCTTAAGTGTATGTTCAACTTTATAAAATCTGGGTGCACGTGATTTCCAATGGAGTGCTGTCTGGAGTGAGGGAGGATGGGGTTTATGTTTGGTCCCACCTAAAGGCAAGGGGAAGGCGCTCTGGTAGTGCAGTGGTTAACACATTCGGCTGCTAACCAAAAGGTCAGCAGTTTGAACTTACCATTTGCTCTGTGGGAAACAGATGAAGTAGTCTGCTTCTGTAAAGATTTACAGCCTTGGAAACTCTAAAGGGTAGTTCTACTCTGTCCTGAAGGGTCACTATGAGTCGGAATTGATTCCATGGCAGTGGCTTTGGTTTTGATAAGGCAGGCAAGGGGTTGCCCTTTTTGGACCACTTGCCCCTCACCATTTACTCACGGCCGTGAGCTAGTGTGGGGAGTTGGTGGGTGGGGGGTGTTATAACCTCCCAAGCCAGGAGGCTCCTTCAGCTGAGCGTAATTCTCTGGAGAAGGGAGCAGCTGTGAGCAGCCAACGTCACACAGCTGGAGGATGCGTGTACCAGCCTGTAAAAGTAGGGACCTCTTCTCCTAGGGGCTCCAAGACAGGGGGGACACAGCTGTCAGCCACCTTCCTCCAGGGCACTTTGAGCAAGCGGGGGAAAGTGAAGAGTTATCACTTCATCCCTGCCCCGCAAAGAAGGGAGGCCCACCCCCACCAGATAGGAAATCAACTCCACTCTGGATCCTCTGGCCTCTTCAAGACCATCTGCAGAGGAGCTCCGGGAGTGCCGAGGCCTCTGCCTGGGGCGGGCCTCCAGCTGTTGGCTGTCATCCAGGAAGCAGCCCACCCCCACCTCTTCCCTCCAGCCCTCAAAGCTCAGTGTGTGTGTGGGGGGGTGCCATCAGAGACCTGCTCTGAACACACTTCACGGTCAGCTGGTGCCCCCGCTCAATGCCAGCAGAAAACCTGAGCCTCAGCAAGTTTCTTCCTGTGCCAGACTCTGCTGCCACCAAGCCTGTGGTTAAAGCTGACATGATACCAGCAGTTAGCACCACCCACACTCCCACGAACTTTCAGGAAAAGCCTCCATCAGTAACAGAAATTGCTGTGTTCCCTGCTCAGCCGAGAAGGGAACTCCAGAGGGGAAATCTGAGCTAGAGAGCTGGGCCAGCCACCTGAGGACAAAGGCATTCCCCAGGACACCCACGTGGCCTTCCTTGTGAAGGGGCAGAAGGGATCCCAGCTTTGTGGCCTTAGGCACCCCTAGCCCTCTTGGGGCTCCTGTGTCAGGGACCTACACCCCTGCTGCAATGCTCTGAATCCACCACCTTGTTCACGCCAAGGTCACGCTTCCCATGGTCTGCTCCCAGACAGTCTGAGCGCAGCAGGGATACTAGACTAGGACAGGCCCACTCACATGAGAGTCCAGACTCCTCTCTGACAGGCCTCCCCAGCACCGCCTGGAACCTGCTTAGAAATGCACCGTGGTCCAAGGCCCTGCTTAACCCATCCCTCCCCCTTCCGGAGCTCCTCCACGCCACTCAGACCTGCAGCCTCCCTGCCTCCTCCCACTTCCTCTCCTTCCTTCTCTCCCAATAAATCTCTTGCACATCTAATCCGGTGTCTGGATCCTACACAGAAAAAAATCACCAGGAAAACTTCTGATCTAATGTCTAAGTACTGTCTTCACCTTTAATATGAAGAAACTGATACTGAAGAGAAAAAATATAATAAAAGCATTTGACCAGCACAATACCACTAATGAAAAGACATAAAGAAGTGCACCAGAAGCACAGACAATAAAGATAAATACTATTATATACACAATACTGCATTATCAGTAACAGTAAACACTAATCTATAGGTGGATACATAGGTAGACAGGCAAGAAGATCAGGTATGGGTAGGCGAATGGACATATAACCATGACCATACATAGGCTGGGCAGATACTCCCACATGCGTATTCGTATGTGCTATAAAATGTCCATATGCAGTATAGAACTAACAGGGGACAAAGTCAGGATAACTTCTTAGCAACAACTAAGCACCTTGAAGGAGTGACTGGTTGGGCCTGCAGGCTCGAGATCACAGTCACAGGGGACATCAAGTTCAATTGGCACAACACAGTACACCAGAACACTGTTCTACATCCTACTTTGTTTGGTGAGTAATGACTGGGGTCTTAAAAGCTTGTGAGTAATCATCTAAGAGGCAACTATCGGTCTCTCCTTGTCCAGAGCAAAGAAGAGTGAAGAAAACCAAAGATCCATGGAAACAGTTAGTCCAAAGGACTATTGACCATGAGATCCTCAGCTCATACAACCCTGAGACCGTAAGAACTAGATGGTGTGTGGCTACCACTGCCAACCACCTGGAGAGGGATCAAAATTAGAGATCCTGTAGAATGAGAGAAAAGTGGGACAAAATTTCAAAAGCACAAAAGAGACCAGGATTAACCAGTCAGATAGAGACTGCTGGCACCCCCAAGACTATGGCTCCTAGACACCCTTCGGGCCTGGAAATGGACTCACTCCCATGGCTAACTTTCAGTCAAACAACACACAGGCCTACAAGCTAACACCTACGCCAGGAAGATACACTCCTTAGAACGATCAACCATGGGAGCTCAGAAGGGCAGCATTTGCCCGGGGAGAAAGTTAGGGAGGCAGGACTGCAGAGGCAAGGACACAGGGAAAGGGTGACCACAGGAAGGAAGTGGGAAGAGAACTGTTACACTGCGGGGATTGCCATCAGCGTCACAAAACAAAATGTGTATGAACTACTGACTGTAAAACTAACCTGCTTTGTAAGATTTCACCCAAACCACAGAAAGTTTATAAAGAAAAAGATGAAGAAACTGAGGCACAGAGAGATGAAGTAACTCACCTGAATCACACAGCTAGCAAGCGGCAGAGCCAAATTTAAACCTAGACACTTTGTGCCAGAGTTCGTGCTTTTAATCACTACACTGAACCTACTTTACAGCACTGAAGAAAGAACAAAAAGAGTAAATGTATGTAAAGTGCTCCATTAAGTATTAGGTATTATAATTACAATAAAGGCTAAACAAACACACAAGGCCACAATAAGACAATAAGAAGGGGGTGATACTAGTAACAACAGCCTCTGGGACTGAGTTCACCCACTCTGGGCCACAGCAGAGACACTCTGACTTTTCATCTTCATAAGACCTCTATAAGATAAGAGTTATTATCTGCCCTTTACAGGGATAGAAACTGAGGGAAGTCAATTAACTTGCCCAGACTAATCAGCTAGTAGATGCTCCCACCATGCCTGGGACCCGGGGCACTCAGACTCTTACTAGGTGACAGTGACAATGATGCTGTGCCCCATAAAAAGGGGGCTGAAAGATGGAGAGACGAAATGCCCCAAGGAAAGTCCAATGGCCCAGTCTCAATGTCAGCATCAAGACTGAAAGACATGGGCAAGTGACAGGTTGTGGCCACCATGGGGAGGACCTTCTCCAGGGTTCTGTCTCTGCATCTGCTTCTTCCTGTGCGGTCCTGGGCAGACCTCTCAGGGTGTCAGTTTTGCAATCTGAAAATCCGGGCCAAAGATACCGACTTTCTAGGGCTATGGTCAGCAGCATTAAATAAAATGTGAAGTATGTGGCACACAGCAGGGAAGAAAGCAGAAGAGTTTAACCTGTCTGAAAGCAATGGAAGGTAAAAGCTGTAAGACATTCAGTGTCTGAGATGTGGCTGGAGAAAAAAAAAAATCACAGAAGGCCCAGGAGGATCATGCAAGGCGGAAGGATCTGTCTATAACACAGCCAAGGTTATTTCACAATACCACAAAAGGCGAATGGTATTCATAGCTAACACATCAAGTGCTTTATTCAGGCACTATGCCGCTCTGGTAGCGTAGTGCCTAAGGCACTTGACTGCTAACCAGAAGGCTGGTGGTTCAAACCCAACAGCCACTCCTAGGAAGGAAGATGGGGCAATCTACTTCCGTAGTGATATTGCCTCGGAAACCCAAGGGGGTTCGCTATGAGTCGGGTCCGACTCCACGGCACCTAACAACAAGAACAACATGCCGGAGGCAGGAGCCCTGGTGGTGCAACAACTAAGCGCTCAGCTGCGAACCAAAAGATGGGGGACTGAAACTCACAGCCACTCTGCGGGAGAACGATGTGGCAGTCTGCTTCCAAAACGATATGCAGCCTTGGAAACACTATGGGGGCAATTGTACTCTGTCCTATAGGGTCGCTATGAGTCGGAATCCACTGCACAGCACATATCAAGCCAAAGGCATTGCACAGTGTATCATATTACACACCAACAGCCCGGAGTCGGCGCTTATTATCACCCCCCACCTCCCCACTTTATAGACGAGGAAACTGCCGCTAAAAGAGACAAATCAGCCGGCCCAAGGTCACATACGGGACCCGCCAGGTGCTTCCAGGTCCAAGGTTCATGCAGTAGAAACATGACATTTCTGCTCGAATTGCTGTACTCCGTGATACCTGACATTTGTACAAAACTCTTGTC